AGTCATTCAATGCTCCTGTCTCAGTCCTGTTACAAAATGATGTGATTGTAACCCTATAATACATCATCATTAGGACAGTATTGTGGCACAAAGAGGCACAAAAACAACAACAACCAGCAGCCTCTACTCCCAGGCTGTCAGTCTGCCCTCCCCCTCAACCCCTCGGACCCTATACCTGCCATAACTGTGAACTGGTCGTGCTTTGATGCAGCTAACATATGGCGCTTTTCCACAGCACCGGCACTACACCACTCTACACGACACGGCGCGTTACTTTTGCATTTCCACTAGTGTTGAAGCTAGGTATTGTGTTCTATTTTCGGACCGCCTCTGGAGCGGTTCCAAAAAGCTACACGCTCGTGACGTAAGCGGACTGCCTACGCTGATTGGTCAACGATCGAGTGTCGTCACTGGACGCGACCTCTGACCCTTTGGGAAAAACAACTCAACCGCCATCTTTAAAACCGGCTGCTCTGCTCGGCTCTGCTTCGGCTACATTACGTCCTCCTCACTCCAGAGAAATGGAATTGCACAGAAAGCCCCAAAAGTCCTGGTCCTGGTCCTGGTCGGTGGACGAGGTCCACACGTTCCTCTCTTCAGGCCAAAGAAAGAATTCAAAGGCAGCTCGAGGCTCAACACAGTTTTCAGGAGATCACCAGCTCTGGATTTGTGACTAGTCTGTGGTAATCCTGAAATAACTGGTTAGCTACGAACCCCCTAAAGCTCTCACTGAAATGTATTTACTGTGTACATGTTTGATGGTCTGTTGTACACAGTGAGCTAGCTACATTTAGCTTCATTTAGCTATCGATAGCAGCTAAGCTAACATCCTCCTGTGCTACTGTGCTTTATCTTGTATTATCTGCAGTATTCACGTGTTGTCATTCTGTTTTGTGCTTGTATTTAAGTTGTCATGTGTATATTTGTATGAGAATCCCTTCCCATAAGTGTGGAGATTACCAACGAACAAGGACTGACCGGAGTATTCTCCTCATCTGGACCTGGCCTGGACCTGGTCTCACACATACGTACTTTTGACTTTGTAAACTGTTGGTTTTGCACTTTACTTTTGTTTTCAATAAATTTGTGATTGTATCAAGACTGTGTTTCATTCATTTATTATTATTGTAGCTGAGGTTTGGGTATCAATTGTTTGTCTGGTCTCGGAGTCTGCTGTAGTCCGGACCCGAGTCCGGACTAGCCTAGCCTAGCTTAGCCGCCAATTCGCTACCCCTATGGCTGCCGCTGTCTCTCCCTCGGTCCTTTACTGCTCGAGTTGCCATATGACAGGTTTAAACCCTGGATCCTCCTCTGAGGGCAGTGATAGATGTGTTAAGTGTAGTACAGTAGTAGCTTTGGAATCCAGGGTTAGTGAGTGAGCTGAGTCTCGAGCTAGCGCTAGCATTAGCCTAACAGTATCCTCGGACATGCAGCCCTCCTCCTCTGCTACACAGGCCGCTGTTGCTAAAGGTCCCATTCAGATTGTACAGAATGGGACCAGCACTATTTTTGTGCAATGCGAGCAAGTGCTGAAACCCATTTTTAAAAGTTAGCGGTCTCTGTAGTGGTATCTATGGAGGACTTTGAGGATGTAATGTTTTTCCTGGTTTCATGCTCGTGAGTCGCGCGGAAATGGCGTAGCGGTGGTATGAAAAGCCCACCCACTTGAAGATGTCCGATGGAGATATGTGGAAAAGCACGCGTACTCGACCGGGTCGTGACGTGTCGTGTAGAGTGGTGTAGTGCCGGTGCTGTGGAAAAGCGCCAATACACCCTGTTACTGTTCTGCTACTCTACCTCATATAGCCCTGTGCTGTTTACATCCTGCCAATTTCTGCACTTTATGCAGTTTATTATTACAATGATGCTCAAAATAATAATGATGTTTTCGTTTGATAGGAACAATTTTATATATAATTTTAGCGTCTGTGTAGCTCATCCAGTGTACAGTACCCAAAATACAAGAATTAAGGAAATTATCAAATTATGTATATTATAACTTTAAAACCATTGTCCAACAAAGCTTGTAGGTAAACACAATAATGATTTTCTCTGATGGAAAGTGTACATGAGTGCGAGGACACTCCATCTGTCAGCAATGGGACAGAGAGAGGCTCCCAGGAGCCTGGGCTTCTCTACACATCCCAGGGGCCTATGCTGTGTGTTTGTGCGTGTGTATATTTGTATGTGTGTATGCGTTTGTGTGTTTGCAGGCGTGTGACAAAGAAGAGTTTGCCCACATGGGGCTCTAGTGCAGGGGTGGTAGGTTCTGATCATGTGGTTGATTTATATTTGTGTTTGATAATAAATATTCCAAACACCCTCCACCAATAACCTCACACCTGATTTCATCCTTCAATTTTGCATTTGCTATTGATATATGTTCAGAAATTTTAGAGCATTGATGCAATGATGTGCTTTAACTTGAACAGTCATGCTTCATTTTGAAAGTATTTACATCTAACTCAGGTGAATAGTGTAGACACAAAAGCAGTCGTCATGTACAAGGAACTTGAAGCAGTAATCCTAAATACATCCATCCACCCATCCATTTTCTTTCCCTTAATCCATCTCTGGGTCGGGGGGTGGCAGTCAGAGCTGCACCCAGTCCACAGAGCACCAGCCCCTCACTGATCCTCCTGCAGGTGGTGAGTCCACAGGAGCTGAGATCTTTCAGCAGGGGCTTCAGGCAAAGTGGGGTTAAGTGTCTTTCCCAAGGACACAACGACAGCAGTCATCAGTGGGAGTCGTGAAGTAGGTCTTGAGGTGGGCTCGAACCCACGACCTTCAGGCCGTGGGTTTGAGGCCAATGCTCTACCAACTGAGCAACTGTCGCCCCCTATATCATAAATACAATGCTTACTTATTTGCTTGTTACCGTCAAAGTAAGACGGTTCCTAAACTATCATCCCATATTTTCCACAAATCCAGTCTGTCTTTGAGCTAGTACTTTCAGCTCGGTTCTTGGTCCATTAAAAGTCCAATAGGCCGTGTATGAGTGGGAGGTAGCGTGGCCACGGGACATGTCCCCTCATGTATGGTGGCATCGCAGTGTGACGCCACCATTGTGATCTGTAGCTGACATTGGATTGCGTGTTTCATTTTATATTGGACATAATCAGTGCAGATGGACAACATACTGTCTGTGCTTATTTGGAGGCAGGTCATTTTTGCCAAATCTGCCAAAACTGTTTAAGCCAGAGGTGGAGGGTTTCTTGCAATTCACCCTTACTGTTCTCTGCTGCCCTCTCGGATGTTCCCTCTGCTGAAGTTTTCATTATCAGCCTCACCTCTGGCCCATAAGACTTTTCTCCCGCTCTGCATGGGGGTATCTGTTGTGGATATTAACTACGTTTAATTTCAGCAAGTATTATTTGTTCGTATCTTATTTTAATATTTTTATCAGACTCTTCTCCAAACACAATTTAACAGTGATGTCATGTCATTATCTGCCTCTTTATTAATCCATTTCTGGGTCAGGTGGGGTGTCAATCAGAGCTGCCACCCAAGTCTCATAGCACCAGTCCCTCGCTGATCCTCCTGCAGTTGGTGGGTCTGCGGGAAGGGGGCTTCTCTGTCATTGACGAGATGGCAATGTGGGGTTAAGTGTCTTGCCCAGGGAAACAATATATTTGTTCCATATATTGGAAAATCCTCTCGCAACCCTCACTTTGGGTAGCAACACATCGACCCTGTTATTTGCATGCATATGAGCATAAAATACTGTCAAAACACTTCATACATTAATAAACACAAGTCTAATGTGGTCCAGTGGTGGGCCCACTGCATGTTCTACCACTATGTTTCACAGATGTCTTTAAATTTTGGATCATGAGCAGTTCAGATTCTTCCCCATCACTCTGGTTCAAGTGGATCTTTGTCTCAACTGTTCATATTTTTTAGAACTATTTAGATGGAGTTTGACAAGCTTTATTCTGCTCAATTTGTCAACGTCTAGATTTCCAGCTCAATGGTGGCTTGCTTCACTGATAGTGAAAGGTCTTCAGATCTAATTTTGAGAATTAGGAGGGACTGAAGCCAAATGGAAGAAACAGGAAATCTACTGTAGACCTTTTATCTGCTTCTTGTACAGGATGAGAAAATAACACATATAGCTACAGAACAGCTGAGCAGCCTTTTGTCCAAATACTTTTGGACCCACACTCAAAACAGCTCTGCAGTTCAAAGACCTCTCTTTGGTTTCATGTCAAATCCACTGCCCTGTTTCCAAACATACTAGGCTATGATGCCCCCTCCAACTATCATGTCATGAACAGCTAATATTGCCTCCAACTTATTTTGGGTATTTATTTCCTAAATTACAAAACATGTTTGGTGTGGCTTCAATATAATTATTACATTATGATTAATTAAAAAAGTTGAGTAGGCCTGCTGCTACAATAGTAATCTGCATAAGCATGTCATTGTGCATCTCCATGGAGCTTTTCATTTGATATAGTTATTAATAAATAATTATATTCTAGAAAATCTTATGATTCAATATGGTTCAGTAAAAAAGAACCATATAATGCCCTTAAAAAAAACCCCACATTTTAGTCTCATGATTCAGTTTCTAATGTGTGGGTGTATGGTTACAAAAAATACAAAACTAAAAAAAAAAAAAAAAAAAAAAAAAAAGTAGACCTATTACTAAATAAAACGCTTATATACTTCTAGAAGTCCTAACACTTTCTGATTGGAATGGATTCAAGCAGTCTGCCACCTGCTGGATACAGGGGAGCCATTTATTTTCACTCTTATGTTTATTTTCAGCGTGATCACATAAATGTGTATTACGAATATGAACTCCTGCGTTCAAATGTTTCTTCTACAGACAGGAAAACCAGTCCAAATCAAAGCTGGCTTGAGGAAAAGCAGAAGATGAGAAGGAGCAGAGGAGGAGGAGTGGATGGTGAGCAGAGGATGAAGAGCAGAGGTGTAAGCAACAGGCTGTAAACTGGTATTGAAAATTCCAGTTGTTTGGAGTGTCTACACTGAACATGCCTCGGCACAAAGACTCCATCGCAAATAGGGACTTGGCTAAACGCACCCACGTAGGTGACCCGGGGAAATGACCTTCATCCTGTGCCAACGCTGAACCAAAGCCCATGATCACGGGCGCGCCATGCTCACATACGCACGCTCCTGTCTCCGCGCGGGGGTTCCTGTGGGGTGGCACGGGTGACGGCATGCGCGCATGCAGACGGCGCGCGTCTTTTCGTCTCGTGCCGTTGCGTCTTCGTCACTTTGATCAAGCACCGAGTCAACAACCCTCTGCAATTGTGAATGTGTGCGTGTTTGTTTTGTGCGCGTGCGTCTTCGTGCGTATGCGTGCGTTTTCAAGTTCGACGCATATCCGTTTGACGCGCGTTGTCTAGAGACGCGCTCTTTATCTGTTTTTTTTTCTTTCCCCCACAAAAATCGGGAGGATGAAAAAATCCTGTCTCATGATCCATCAGCAGCGTGCGTCCCAGTCACACTACAGCACCTATATGATTATCTAAACAGTCTGATGTGAAAGTACCTCCCGTTACGCGTGGGCGGCTAAACACACTGCTGCCTCTTTTCTTTCCCCCAACTTCTATTACGCGCGCGGAGCTGAGGGGCAACGGGAGGAGCGCGCTGCTGTGTGCGTGTGTCTGGGTTATAGTGCTTTTGTGCCTGTGTGCCCGTGCGCGCTCCCTGTGTTTGGATGTGATTTGTGACGGAATCCCCCTTTCTTCTCCTCTCCAGTCTCCGATGCGCGCTGGTGGAAAGCGGCAGTGCGTGCGCGGCAGGAGGACGAAGAGGAGGCGGTAGAGGAGGCGGACACGGCGCTGTCCACGGGTTCTCACTGCGCAACGCCGCTGGAGACAGAAGAAGCAGCAGAAGCCGGGTCTCCATAAGGTTTATTATTTTTCAATTACGGAATACGACGCGCCAGGACAGACAGGTGGATTAAACGTGGTTTCCTTTTTTCTTCTTCTGATGGATGGATTCTGCTTCACGGACGTTGTGATTGGGTGCCGAATGGAGTAACAGGCTGCAATGTCACTTCAGCACCTGTGCGCCAGGAGCCATGTGTCACGGGAATGGGGTGAGTGATCAGTTTCGCTCCAAAAGTCGCATATTTCTTTCCCCCCTCTTCTTTTCTTTACGAGTTTGCGCGTGTGGCTCAAAGTGAAGCAGCCACTCGCAACCTGCTGCATGCCCCACATAGCGCACCGTGACTGGGGTGGCGGGGTGGTGGGGGTTAGAGAAAGGCGCCACAGGCTTCTTTCAACGTTTTATGTTTATACACCAGGGCTGTATATGGGAACGGATTATTTTGGGATGATGTGACCCGAAATATTAGGTCTGCACGGAGTTCGTAATATCTATTCGTTATTAGATCGTGACAGAAGATTGTGGCACTTTGGAACGACACAAAATCTCGAAAAATGAACAATTTAAGCGCTGACTGACCTCCTGGCAACTGCATTTAGTCTCACTGTACACTGTGCATAAAAAAAAGAAAGCATTCTGATGTTTAGGATTTAGAGAGCATTTTGTTATAAGAATCAGTTGGTATAGATTAAAAGGCATTATGTTTATTGCGATGCATATTTAGATGTTGAGTTCAAATATATGGTCGATTTTTACATTTTTAAGAAAAACAAAGCTGTAACTTTCTTTAGTTCTTCTGCTTGTATTTGTTTAAGTCTATTCCTGGTAAGGTCTGAGCTCTTGTTCTCATAGTAGATATAGAAAGAATCATGTACTTATCATGAAATTGAGTGTGTTTTTGAACAACATTCACGAAAACTATATAACTTGCACTGTGGATCAAAAACAAAAATGTTCTCGGAGATTTAAAATGTGACTGAAAAGTATAGCATGCTCCTTGAATGCCTAAACGTTATGCATTTTATTATCCAAAAAGAGTGTGTACTTGTAAACACGTTCCCCCGGCCCTTCTGTCTAAATACTCCCTTCTCAAATGACTTTCACTGTGACGAATCCTCAAACTAAGACGTCATGGGCACAGCGATTATCTGCCTTTTATAACAAGATGATTAAGTATGATTTCTAGTTTGGGGAAGTGCACCAGTCAAACAAGGCAATTTACAATGTCATGCCTTTAAATTGGGATTGAATGTAAGATTGAATAAATGTATAATTATAAGTAAATATTTTCAAGATCAAGTTTAAGGGCCAAAACATGAATAACATAATTTTTGTCGGGCTACAAGATTATATTGTAATCTAAGCAATATTGCAATCATAATATCAAATTACATTGCATAAATCTAATGTAGATGTTTTAGGTTGGAATGCAACGTACCGCTATGTCAAAGAATAAGGGTACACATTTGTGCCCTTTCATCAGCGGGATCATATGTGCACCATTTGAGACCAAAAAGGTACATTGAAGTCCATAAATGCACACTTTAATCTAACAGTATATATCAAATGTGTTCATAAATACAGCTCAGTCTCCACTCCAGTATAAGGCGTCCATGTTCATAAGTTGTGACATAAACCTTCCTTGCAAATCAAATAGTGATCACCAGGGGTCACATTTCAATAATAATTATGAGTGCGCGCACCGGGGCACATCAACCAATATTCAACTGTTTATGAGGTCCCCAAATATAGCAGTGCAGTGATGCTGCCTACCCACGAGCTGCTCAAAATAATCTTTATGTAATGTAGGCGAAGAGAGCAGGTACAAAACCAGGACTAAGCCGGTACTGGGACGCGGCGAGCAGGAGGTGAGCTTTTGGCAAGGGCAAAATCAAGGACTTGAGAGGTTGAATTGTGGAAGATGCGAAATTATGGGGGTTAAAACAGGAGGAAGTCAAAAGCAAGCCGTGTTGTTGATTTACTGACTGAAAAAGCTGGTGAAGATGAAAGACTTCACGTGTGTTAGAAGAATTTTAGCCACAAATCTGCCATCCGTCCGAATGCTCTGTTTTCAAACTCGTTACGCTACGACGAATCCTCGGACTGTGACGTCATGGACAGGGCTGTTAGGCTCCTATAAACTAGATTCTGTACAGCTGGCTCCTGCTAAATTGCGTTTTATGTGTTTTTTCATTCATCTTGATCATTTTTATTGCATGTTCAGTAGTTTGACTTTTCTGTTTCATGAAACCTTTATTATTTTTCCAAAAGAAATTTTCACTACAGTATGTCAATGGTGATGGTTTTTCTTAATTCTTGAACATAAAAATCCCTATATTAACAGGCACAGTCAACTTTCCAGTAGTTTTTTGTCACAAAGGATTTATTTTGACATTTACCCACTCCATTCATAGCAGATAGCATCTGTTCAGTCCAAGAAGCAATTACGATGATCAAAAATCTGATTATTTTAGAAGTTGCTGATCAAGAGTTGTTGATTAAGTAGGGTGTAGAGTTGCAAAAAAAACGAAAAAAATAAATAAAACATAACATTAAGCAACATTCAGTCAACAAAGCAAACATTCAAGTGTATGGACCTGAAGTTGACCTTTTTAGGACTACTAGGCACTTTGATGAGAGACCTCTGGGAACACCAGGAGCCACAGTGGGGGAGCGCTGTTGTTGTGTCCTTAAGCAAGACATGTCACCCACATTTTCTAGTGTTGGAATGTGTGAGGCAGGAGACGTTGTGAATGGTTGGTGGTGGTCAGCTGATTGCACAGCTTAGTTGTGTTGCTCTTGACGGTCTGGCCCAGGGCTGTAGCTAAAGTTAGTTGTAGTTTACTGCCAGTGTGCGAAGAAAATCAATAGGGTGTGCAAAAAGACAGGAAGTGTAAAAACACCTTAATAGGTTGAAATTTAGTACCTTTTGTGCAAGATATATTATGTACAATTAAATTAAAAGTGACTTTAGCTCCTCACAGCAGCAGTAGAAAAATCCATCGATTCAAATGCAATTTCAAATCCTTCTACCGGTCCTTATTTCTTCATAATAAACCTTTCAAACCAATAAAGGCCGCTGCCCATGGCAACACAATTTGCCATTTAATTCAGGTGTGTAAAGATAACTCAGCAAGTAGTCCGACCACTCTGCGAGAGAAGCTGTCGGAGCTAGCCACGCTAGCTCTGCTAAATAAACAAAAAAAAAAAACAATCAACACATTTAAATGTTAATTGGATAGTTGTGAGGTAGTGTAGCAAGAGTGGGTCAAAGTGGCAGAAGAACAAAACAAAGGCTCCAAAACTTGGTGGATTTATTTACAGTGCTCCCAAATATACATGTTCTCTCTCCAAAACCAACATGGAAAGTGCCTCTCCTTTTCTCTAGAACAGCCAGCACACCTGGCATATATACATGGCCTAAATTGACTGGCTCCTCCCACTCGGCTGGAATATGCTTTTATATACAGCAATATGCATCTGCAAACATAACAAGCAGCAATTACTGCACAGACAGCAACAAAGCATGCACACAGTTAAACAACAATGATGCAAATCAACATTAAACCCCTAAACCAGGTTAATTATCAAACCCCTCCTTTAAATGGGTGGAGCTAGACAGAGGGCTCACTCCAAAGGGGTTAAAACCAGGAAATGCTCTGCGGCCCTCCCCTTTAATCGGATGCCGCATGGAGCAGGTAAGTTAGAAGCAAAGTGCCCTCCAGACAAATGAATAAACATGTTTAAACCGTACTATAGTGTTTGGTGTTTTTAACAAAGCCAACTGCTGCAAAATGTAATCTATGTATGTGAATGAGTGAGTATGTGGAACTGACAAACTTACACAAACAAGGCCCGGGATATGAGAGTGTATTTGACAGAACCTGTGTGTGTGTGTGGAACCAAGGGTGTACCAAGGGACAAGTGGAGTTGTAAGACTCACTTCGTCACAATAGTACAGTATGCATTTACAATACACATGCACAGAATGATCTGTTAACGTTTGCATGACAAAAATACTATTTAAATGCAACAAAAATGCGATCGTGGAACCTGGAAGTAACCATTAACATTATAAAAACATTTTAGAACTTGCAGAGGATCTGATTATTGATTTAGGTTTAGTATGTATATTGGTCACTCACCACTGATGTTCAGAATTCTTTGTTCAGTTTTCATGTAGTTCAGGGCAGACGCTGTGCGTCGGGGTCCGGTTCGCCCTTTCTGTTTGTATTTTCTGATAATGACCGGTGATCTATATATTATCCCTTAATTGTACAGTCTGTGGGGAAGAAGACCGTGCGGTAGCGCTCCTTCTTGCACTGAGGGTGCCTCAGTCTTCCACTGAAGGAGCTCCTCAGCTCCTCTACAGTCCAGTGGGTGGGAGGTGTTGTCCATGTTGTAGGTGAGTTTGGCTAGTACCTTTCTTTCACTCACCACCTCCATAGAGTCCAGGGAACAGCCCAGAGTGGAGCTGGCCCTCTTGACCAGTTTGTTCAGTCTATTCCTGTCCCGCTCGGTCCTGCTAACCTGCACGTGAAAACCATATCCTAGCAGGGCAGGGCCTAGTAAGTACTGTGATGGGAAACCTCTGGGTCTTTAGGCATGACACCTAACCCACTTTGCGTAGAATGAGTCTGTTGTCTGTGAAAGGTTGATGGTGGTCAGAGAGGCTGATGGCACATAATTGCCTCGCTTCGGTCAGTATGTCCCAGGGCAGCTGTGCCTACAGTAGTACAATACAATGTACAATACAATTTATTCTTGTATAGCCCTAGGTCACAACAGAAGTCATCTCAGAGGACTTAACAAAACCATTGAAATCACCAACACAGGTCAGAGAATCAACAGCCAAAACACATGGAGAATATAAAGCACACACAGAAGAAAATGTCCATACATGTTGTAGAATGCTAAAGTGTCCTGATCATCACCAATCCTTTCTGTTGGACACTAACTGTCCAACAAGACCCTCCTGCATCGACAAGGAAAAACTCTTAAAAAACCCAGTGGGAAAAAG